AAGGATTCTTCAGCTTCTCATGCCCAGCCAGCAAGAAGGCTGGAGGGGCACAAGGACTTTGGAGGGGGAACAGCCAGGGCAGCTGACCCCAACTGGCCAAAGGAATATTCCGCATCATGTAACGTCATGCCCAGTATATAAACTGGGGGGACTTGGCCTGGGGCGGGGGGGGGAATCGCTGCTCAGGAACTAACTGGGCATCGATTGGCAAGTGGTGAGCAATTGCATTGTGCATCACTTGTTTTGTATAGTCCAATTCTTTTGTTATTATTAGTGTCATCTTATTATTGTTATTATTATCATTATTATTTTCTTTCTTTCTGTTCTATTAAACTGTTCTTATCTCAACCCATGAGTTTTACTCCCCCCCCCCCCCGATTCTCTCCCCCATCCCACTGGGAGGGCAGGGGTGAGTGAGCAGCTGCGTGGTGCTTAGCTGCTGGCTGGGGTTAAACCACGACACCTCTCTTTAATTCCCCTTGCTGGTGGTACTCTTTATTCTGCCTGTAGCATTCACATCCCAGCACCAGCAAGTGCAGAGCAGTTCTCAGGGGAACTCGGGGTTCCCCTGGCACCTGCAGCTGCTCCAGGACCCCACTTTATTGATGCCGGGGATTGCAGATGGGATGAGGAGGTGGATGGAGGAAGAGGAGGTGTCCCAAGACACCAATTTTGGGGAGATGTTTCCTCCCACCCATCCCAACCCAACTTTTGGTGTTGCAGAGGGGGATCTGCCCCATCCCTTGTCCACAAATGACGGTGCTGCCCACACCTGCCTGTCCCTCTGGCCCCACTGAGGTCCCTTGCTCTCCCTGGCGTCCTGCGGTGACAGCTCACTCTGATCGACCGCGGTGGGCAGCTGGACGCTGGGCTGGGCGCCCCGGAGCAGCCTCCACCGCTGATAACAGGGGCCAAGGTCCAGGCGGGGAGCACACGGCGGCACTGGGACAGCCTGAGTTGGGCAGCCGTGCCCCTACGCAGCGCCATGAGGCTGTGGCTGCTCTGTGGCTTCGCTGCCACTGTGGTCCTTGTGGCCGTGGCCCGAGCTGACCACGGTGACTCGAAGAAGGTCGCACGGGGGAGAGAGGTTGGTTGTGTGCGGAGGGGAGTTCAAGCTGGGGAATAACGGAGGCCAGGAGAGGGGAGACTGCATGGAGAGCATCGTGGGGAGGGAAAACCTCCCCTGGCATGGCACAGCACAGCATGGCATGGCTCTGGCACCACAGGGACACCGGCTGCTCTGTCACCAGCACCCTGCACTGAGCCCCCTGTGTGGGGAGAGGCCAAATCCCGGGAGAGCAGCTTTTCCCCCCTCCCTATTCCCTGTGCCACCCTGGGCACTGGTGGGGCTGAGGATGGGCTTGGGGCACGGAGGTCCAGCCAAGCCCCTCACCCCGAGGGCCAACGCCACAGTGGGGGGGGGCCACACTCTGCAGGCATCCTGGGGGCTGCGTGCTCTGCCAGGGCCCCTCTTGCAGCCGCAGCGCTTGCACAACCAGCAAACATTTCGTCAGGGGGGCGGCAAGTGGCTGAGCAGGGGAGGAGGGAGGCAGTGGATGCGGGTGGTCCAGCCGCTGCAGGGGAGGACGGGGGCTGCAGCACAAGATGGTGGCTTCACTGTGCCAATGAAAAGCAGGGGAGTGGCTGGGGATAGGGAAGGAGGGTGGGAGCATGTTGTTTCCAAAACACAGCCCAAAACATGGCCAGGGATCGGGTACCTGAGCAGGGATGGACCAGGGGAAGCTGGGGAGGGTCTGGGCACTGCTGGGCATGGAAGCAATCCTGTCCCCATCCCGGCATGGCAGCAAAGGGGGCTAGCCGGCCATTTCTCCCTTGCCTCCTGCTCCCCAGGGTGCTCCCTGCCCGCACCTCCCTGCCCGCACTCCCACCACCCAGCCCAGACTTGGGGGTGCTTACGCAGGCACCAAAGCGGCCCTGGGCAGCAATGGGTTCCAGCAGAACCAGTAACAACCCTTCCCTCTGCAGGGGATGAGCAGCGGGGGCCGGCGCCGGCCCCACAGACCCTGCTCGGGGTGCTTCTCCGTCCTGAGCGAGGTGAGCGGGCAGTACCAGGCTGCGGCCACACCGCACTGCTGAGGTGGCCGCTGTGGGGGCCGGGGCAAGCGGCGTGTGGGGAGAGGAGGAAACTTGGTGCTGCCAACTCCTCGGTGTCACCCCAATGGTGTCTGACGGCCCCGCGGCACCGGCCGTTCCTGCACCCATGTCTCTCCCCGCAGGAGTCGCAGTCAACATCCTGGCATGCCGGGGAGGATGATGAGGTTCAGCCGGGCAGGCGGGTGCGTACGGAGCCAGTGGAAGAGGGTGAAAGGTCCAGAGGTGCCGCAACGCACCAGGCGGTGCCGGCCCCCAGCCCCGGAGCTGCCACGGGGGTCACCCTACCCAGGCCTGCCAGCAGGCAGCCCCTGGCCACATGTTGTCCCCCCCTGGCCAGGCTGGCCCCAGGCCTCCCCATCACCCGGGGCTTGGCGTGATGCTGTGCTTGCTCCCGCAGGGGAGAGCCAGGAGGGAGGACAAGGAACCGGCCCAGCCCATGAGGCCCCCCGGCAGCATCCTGCTGCGGTGGCAGGTAATGGCAGAACTCCAGCAGGATCCCCATCCGCTGGCAGCAGCGAGACATGGGGACGGGGACCCCGGCCATCGTGGGAACCCCCCAGCAAACCCCACCGTGTCTTGCAGGAAGCGCTGAGCACCTGGACGGTGCAGCAAGGAGCGGTGCCAGTGGCTGGGCACAGCCCCACGCCAGGAGAGAGACGGGGGTCCGGCCACCCCCAGGCTGTGCCGTAGGGCCCACCTGCCCCCTCCCAGCCCTGAGGCAGCCAGGGGGCCTGTGCCCCCCACTCAGGGCACAAGCAAGCCTGTGGCTGTGCAAGCTCAGCCCCCATGCACCCCCAAACTGCTTCTTGGGGCACCTGCCCCCCCCTCTTTGCCAAGCCACCAAATAAAGGCAGCGAGCCAGAGGGAGTGGGTGCGTTTGTGGAGGGGGAGCGTGGTGGATGACCCTCTGACAGGATGACCCTGGCGCTGGGGATGCTGCTCCCACACTGGCCCAGCTCCTGTACTGCTCAGGGTGGGGTACCCGTCCCAGCCCACCCCGGGCACCTCTCCTCCCAAGGCGTCCCCTCGTCAGTGCGGCCAGGACCCAGCCTGACCTCATGTACCACTGGTGCCAGCATGCGCGGCTGCAAACACAGACCCACGCACACACAGCGCCCCACGGACCCCCCAGCATGGGGACAGGGGTCACCAGGATGATCCCCTCCTGCTCGGCCCCTGCTCACATTCCTCCTTCCCCCCCGCAGCTGATGCTGCTTGCCTCTGCCCGCAGCTGGACCTGCCTCCCCAGGGAGCGCTTCCCCTCGCCCCCAGCCCCTGCCATCCTGCCCAGCACACCCCAAAACTGGTGGCGAGGGGAGGGGGGGTGCAGAATGGGAGGGTGCGGGGACAGCCTGGCCCCATGCGTGGCACCCAGCCAGCGGCACACTGGCATCCGCAGGATTCTTGCCTTGGCTGGGCGGACAAGGACAGGGAGTCCCAAACCCTGCCCAATTAGCACTAACAAAGACAATAACCAGAAGCAAATGGGCGAAGCCGCACCAGGCAATGGCGGCAACCAGGACTTTGCAGCTGATTGGGCTGTAACTGGGGGGGGGTGCAGGGGGCGGACGTGCAGGTTCAGGGGAGTGCACTGTGTGTGTCATGTCCCTGCGTCTCTGGGACACAAGCTCAGCTTTGCTGCTGGCTGAACCCACAATGAGGGAGGCGGCAGCCATGTGCCCCAGCCGGGGCAGAGACCCCAGGCACTGGGCTGGTCTCCAGTGGCTGGGATGGAGGGTCCTGGCTGAGGCAACTGGGGACAGCAGCTCCTGACATCCCTTATAGACTGTACTGGGCGCTACTGGTCTGTACTGGGCTCCAGTGGCTGTGCAGGAGGGTGCTGGCTGGGGCAACGGGGGACTGTGGCTCCTGACATCCCTTAAGAGCGGCCACGGGGCTGTTGACTCTGAGCAGTCCTGTCCCTTTTCCTGTCCCCACCATGGGCCAGGGAGCTCCCGCCAGCAGCCGTGGGGTGCAGCACGGTGGTGGCAGTGGTGGGGATCACCATCAGCCCAGGGGGACACATGGGGAAGGTCACCATGTCACTCAGCAGCGAGGGCTCGGTGTTGACATGCCAGGCAGTGCCGCAGGCCCCATGGTGGGCTCAGTGCCAGCACAGAGGTGATGGAAGCGGCTCCGCGGTGTTTGCAGCCCCTCTCCTGCCTTGGCCCCTCAGGTGCCGCTTCACGGCACGGTGGCAATGGGCTGCCTGAGCCGAGAAGCTGCCTGGCACGGAAAGTAACACATGTCAGGGTCCGTCTGCTCTGATGAGTGCCGTGTGCCCAGCGGGGAGCGCAGCACAGGCAGGGTTGCTGCCAGTCGGGAGGGGCCAAGCCGCAGGACCCCCACGGTTGCAGGCAGCAGCCTGCCCAACCTATCCATCCCCTGCTCACCGCCTGCCCTGCGCCCCAGGGGCCAACCCAGCTGAGCTGTGTGGCCCTTCCCAGTCCTCCCCGGCACCCACCAGGGCTGCTGGCTGCAGGAGCCACAGAGGAGACGGCAGAAGTGTCACCATTTAATGCGGGGGGACGGACAGACACCACAGACACCCACGGAGTCTTGGGGGGGCAGGGGGTTGGGGGGCAAGCCCCACAGCAGTGAGTGTAGGGTGCAAGAGATGTCACCCCGGGAAGGCTGGGCTCTGCGGAGCAGCCAGGACCAGGGCTGGCCCCTCCGGCGTGGCTGGCAAGATGTCTTGGCCACCCCCTCCTCGGCCGGGGCCAGATCCTGCCACAGGCAGCCTCTCCGCCCAGGCTCCAGGATGGCTACCATGGGGATGCCGAGGTGCGGGAAGCCACAAGGGCTTAGCACCGCGCAGGAGCCAACACAGTGCTGGGACTGGCCGCAGCAGGGAGAAGGATCCAGCACCCCTGGGCTGGGCTCAGTCATGGCTCCACGGAGCCCCGGCCGTGGCCGGCAGCGGGGCAGCGGGTGCTGCAGTGTGGCTCGGCCGCCCTCCAGGCCCATCGGCCAGCAGCGAGGGGGTCTTGGCAACAGGGGGGACCGGCGGCGGGGACGATGGCGAGGCGGGTGCCGGCCCAGCTGTGGGGCTCAGGGTACCGGTGGGCTGCCCGCAGCAGTGCCAGCTTGTCGGTGAAGTGGAGCAGGCTGAAGAGCAGTGGCCGTGCCGGGGTGGGAGGGCCGCACAGCCGGCGGGCGCTCTCGGTCTGCAGGGGAGCCGGGGCCGGCAGCAGGCCCATCGCCGCCAGCAGCATGGTCTGCAGGAAGCCAACAGCATCGGCACCGTCCTCCCCCTCAGGCAGCTGCAGCAGCCGCAGGCTGTTGGGCCGGGCGCGGGTCTCCAGCGCCCAGCACCATCCCTCCAGGCGCTGGACGGCATGGCGGAGGCGCTGGTGGCTGCGGGCGAGGGCGGCCATCTTCCGCGCCTGGCCCCGTTCTAGCCGCTCTAGGCGGCTCCGCACGCCCCGCACTTCCCGGCACACCGAGCCCAGGTCCCGGCACAGCCGCTCCAGCTCCTCCACCAGGACGGCTCGGACCCGGCCAACTTCAGCCCACGGGTCTTGGGCCTCACCGGGGGCCTCCCGCGGGGATGGGGGGCTCATTCCAGGGCACCGCTTCTTGGGCAGGCTCACCCCGCTGCAACTGCCAGGACACATGCCAGACCCCGGTGGGGACATGGCACCCGCTGCGAGCCAGAGGGTGGGAGCTCAGACGGTGCCACGGTGCCACCAGCCCCCTCCCATGCCGCCCCCCAGCCTGGCCCCAGCCCCCCCGGTACCTTCTGCAAAGGGTCTCTTGGTCACCATCCCTGCGGCGGGGGGACAGGCGGGCGGCCGGGTGCTGCCAGCAGGGCGGGTGTTCCCTGGCACGGCAGTGCCGCGTGTCCCCAACGCTCGCGTTTTGGCGGGGCTGCGGGGGGGCACCACTGGTGCTGTCACCCCTGGGAAGTGGCACAGACACCCCGTCAGCAGGGGCAGCCCCCCCCCGAAACCTCCCCACCCCGCAGTGCTGCCCATCCCCGGGTGCTGGCACAGGACCTCACATGTGTCCTCAGCCCTGGGAGATGAGGGGCTGCCATGCCCACCGGGTCAGGGTGATGCCAAGGCCCGACCATCGCTCTGCTCTGCACCGCGCACCCAGGCACAGCCGTTCCCTCCACCCCAGGGTTTCAGCTCCTTCTTCCACCCCGGGGGCCCTCGCTCCCCACACCAACCCCCTGGCAGGAGAGGGGCTGCAAGCACCGCCGAGCCCCCCACCCCACCCCTTGTGCCACCCACCTGCTGCAGAGACTCTGCAGCCCCCAGTGCCTGGCACCGCAGCCCCCTGTCTTCTGCCAGCAGCCGCCGGCCAGGCTGGGATGGGCTTGGGGGTGGCGATGTCCCGCAGGCAGTCAAGCAGCCCTTGCAGGGGGCTCTGCCCCACGGTCCCAGCTGGCGAGACCGCCACAGAGTCACCCTGAGGTGTCATGGGCAGAGGGGGCCTTCCGCCCCCCCCCCCCCAGCACCACAAGGGTCCCCCCAGGGACCAGACCCCAAAGGGATACCCGGGCTCTGCAGGGATGCCCCTTAGGGACCCGACCCCACAGGGATGCCCCAGGGGACTGGACCCCGCAAGGATGCTCTCCCAAAACCCAGACCCCCCTCAAGGTTGTGTCCCCCCCCAAATATCAGACCCCTCCTCCAGGGATTCTCCAGGGACCAGCCCCTGCAGGGATGTCCCCCAAAGCCCAGAACTCACAGGCATGCCCCCTCCAAATACCAGACCCCCCATGGATGCCCCCATGGACCCACAGGGATACCCCCCCCCCACCCCCCGCCAAAGCCCAGGCCCCCCAGGGAAGCCCCTGGTCTCCAGGGGCAGCACTCCCTACCTGGGACCCTGGGGCTCAGCACCCCCACCCACATCCTCGCATACCCCTGTACCTTGCTGGGGGGGGCTCAATTCCCAGTGATGAGGCACGTGCCCCCCACGGACAGCTGGTTGGGCTGTGCAGGGAGGGAACACTCCCCCCCCCGCAGGGACCAAATCCTGCCCGAGCACCCCACTGCGCAGCCCCAGCCCCCACACTCTGTCCCCTAGGGCTGCCTGAGACCCCTTGGAACCCCCCAGGGACCCTTCCAAGACCCTCCGGGACACCTCCGAGACTCCCCCAAGACCTCACCAGCTGGCAGCGTGGGGCTGTGGCACAGCCCACCATTCCAGCCCCAGGCCACGGCCTGGTCTGCTGGCTCCCTGGTGGCACTGCTGGTGAAGGAGATGCTGCTCAGAGAGCCGGGGTGCCCAGCACCATCCCCAGATTGTGGGCAGCAGCGGGCAGGGACTGCCGGTGACTTGGCTAGCGAGGGGCCAGGAGGGGTGGCCAGGCCTGCAGGGCACACTCAGGGCAAGAGCTGACAAGACCTGGCTCATCCCACCCTTGCGCCCGAGACCCCCCGGCACAGCCCAGAAGCTGCAGCGAGTGCCAAGCGCTGTGTGTCTGGCACTCGCCTCGGCTTGGCAGGCTTGGCACCGGCATCCTAAGTCCTCTCACCACCCTAGGGTGCAGAGCACATCCCTGGCACCCACCCATGAGGGACACAGGGTGGTACCCAAGCCCCAGCGCCAGTGAGCACAGGGTCTGGCAGCTCCCTCCTGCTGCCTCCGCAGAGACTGGAGACCAACGCCCAGCCCTGCCGTGCCATGCCATGCCATGCCATGCCATTTCATGTCGTGCCATGCTGCAAGAAGGTACCATGCTGTGCTATGCCATGCCATACCATGCTGGGCTGTGGTATGTGCATGGTACCACACTGTGCCATGGCATGCATTCAATGGCATGCCATGCCTTGCCATGCTGCACAGTACAATGCCGTGCCATGCCATGTCATGGGCATGACACTGTGCTGTGCCACACCTCTGAGCAAGTGTCTCCCAGGCAGAGATTGGTGACCGCTGGGCTCTCCCTGCTGCCTCTCCCCAGGGGCATGGGAGCCACTCGCCGGGGGGCTGGGGGTGGCAGGATGGCCAGACCCCCTCACCACTAGCTCCTCCAGGCATTTCTCCAGGCTGCGGAGTGGGCAGGTCTCCACCGGTGCCTCCATTTTAACTGCAAAAGCCAGTTCCAGTCCCTGCCCCCCCCCCGGCAGCCAGGCATCCCTGGACATGGCTGGGAGCAGGGGGCCAGGGGGACACCCGGATCCCTGGTACCAGATGCCTGCACACCCTCACCCCCATGCCAGGGTCCCCAGCCCCATGGCTCACCCGCTGCATGCACCATCCCCAGCTCCACTGTGAGGCTCTGCCAGCCCCCGGCTCCCAGCATGGCCCAGCTCCATGGGGGCCGGGGTCTGCCGGGGGGCTTGTCCTGCAGGCAGGCAGGCCGGCCCCAGGGAGATCCCCCCTCTGCAGCAACACCTGTGCCAGCATTAGGAGAAACCCCTGGTCGGGGCTGGGTGCTCTCAGGGCGCTGATGCCAGGACCCCCTGCCCAGCCCTTCCCAGGCAGAGCCGGGGGGTGCAGCCCCCACCCTGCCATGGCTCAGCGCATGGCTCCCCACAGCCAGGTCCACGATAGCACTGCCAGGGCTGCAAGGCGCCTTCGCCTCCAGCACCCTCACACCCCTGCTATCACACATTACCAAGGCAGA